TGGGTAGAATTTTGTGATAATTGGACTTCAGATTAGTAAACTGTTCTTTAGAAACCGTAAAATATACTTCAGATTAGTCAATTGTACTTCAGAAACCGAAAAATGTACCACAGATTAATGAAAATGTACGTCAGAATCCGTTTTTTTGATTTCATATTAGTCAATTGTACATCAGAAACTATAAAATGTACCACAGATTTGTAAATTGTACTTCAGAAACCGAAAAATGTACTTCAGGTTAGTCAATTGTATTTCAGAAACCATAAAATGTACTTCAGATTCATAAATTGTACTCCAGAAACCGAAAAATATACTTCAGACTAATCAATTGAAATTCAGACACCGTAAAATGTAATGAGGGTGATATAGCCCTCGAGCAAACTTTATGAAAAAGATGTTTGCACGATGAAAGGAGAACTATGTAAATACATATGTATGTACATATATAATGCGTCCTTGAAAAGTTTTTGGAGATAGGGCATTTTCAAACATGCCGAGATAGGCCGATCTTCCCCTCAGCAGTCGATATAGCCATTCGCTTCGTGCTGATATAAAAAACGGAATTATCCTGAACCTCCTTTTCACAAAATATATACACTTTAATAATTAAAACTACATAATAATTGCTTCGATTGCAAAAAATCGCAATCGAATATATGTATGTATACAGTGCAAGCATAATGCCTGTTGATTCGCGTGTTTTTGGCAGATAAATCGAGCATTGCCTTCCAAATAAAAACCAATGTTGCTGACAGTTGTGCTGAAGTCTTTATACAAATTTATTTCACAGTAATAATAATAACACAGGTCTGCAAAAAAATGGGTTCGGAATGTTCTATAAAAGTGTAGTGTCATTTCCGAAGTAATTTTTTGCGTAGAATCCGAATCCGGGGTTTAAATTGCTCTATCACGTCAGGACTTTGAGATATCCTAACCTAAAAGTGCAAAAAACGCTGTTTTTGCCCATTTTTGAGGTTATGTAGCTACGAAGATTTTGCTCTTCATAAAAAAGTAGACGTGGTATTTTAAAGTATAAGTCTTCCTCTTTTAAATGCCGTTGAGTTTGCTCAAATATCTTAATTTTTCACTGAGATATCGCATTTTGAAGTCTCCATGTTTGTGAATGTAATCGACCGTATCACGTCTCATGTTATCTCAATGGATTTTCGAATATCGAAAAATTCACAAACATGGAAACTTCAAAATGCGATATCTCAGTGAAAAATAAAGATATTTAAGCAAACTCAACGGCATTTAAAAGAGGAAGACTTATACTTTAAAATACCACGTTTACTTTTTTATGAAGAGCAAAATCTGCGTAGCTACATAACCTCAAAAATGGGCAAAAACAGCGTTTTTTGCACTTTTAGGTTAGGATATCTCAAAGTCCTGACGTGATAGAGCAATTTAAACCCCGGATTCGGATTCTACGCAAAAAATTACTTCGAAAATGACCCTACACTTTCCTAGAACAAAACGTTGTTGACCTGAGTAATAGATTGGCGCTTACACATACGTTAGTGTTTGACCGAGCTTCTCCTCCGATTTGTGGCGTACGCCTTGATGTCGTCACACAAAGAGGAGGGACGTACAGTTTTACGCCGACTCCGAACGGCGATGGGATTTTTTATGAGAAGCTGTTTTTTCATGGCAGAAACACACTCGGAGGTTTGCCATTGCCTGCCGAGGGACGACCGATGTTAAGAAAAAACCTTTTTTCAATTGTTTTTGTTTTTTGCGATGTTGCTTTGACTGTGGAGTGGAAGCGCGCGCTACACCACAGCGGCCGACCTTCATAGTGCATATGTATATACACAAGTATTCAAATTAACTTACATTTGTGCCTTCTATATGTAAATACACGCGCTCACCCTTTCGAATCTCAAGTCCAAATGATTCCACTAAGTAGGAGAGAAAACAATTTAACTTAAAAAATAAAGAATTTACCTAGCGGGAAAAACTAACGGCTGCACTTGCTGGCGAATGCATTGCAGAGCAGAGTCGCTGCTCCATATGTAGGTACGTACATATATACATATGTACATAAGCATGTACATGCAATTACGCATGAATTGGTACATATGTGCATACATACCTACATATTTACATACATATGCACTTATATAATCCATATACCAGATTAAGTGCGAAGGAGAAATTGAAATTCGGCTGGAAGTAGAAACTTGGAATGCGGCTGGAAGTACACTGCTCGGCCGCTCAATACTCCCCACCCCGTAATTCACAGCATGACTGCGCTGTGTATTACCATCTCATTTTATGTCTAACTTAGCGAGCTTAACTGCTGGGCGAGTAACAATTCCGTCAGCTATACGAACAATATCACTGCGGACTTGTCCATCTTTAGCGCGGTGTGTATCTACGACTATACCCTTTGGCCAAGAGCAGCGTTTATTGTTCTCGTCTACAATGATGACTATGTCGTTCACGGCGATAGGTTCAAATGGGCGGCTGGAACCACTTCGTGCGTCTGGTTAAAGTAGGTAGATATTCGCGCAACCCCCTCTTCCAAAAAACGTCGGCTATCATACCAGCTATGCGAAAATCCTTTTCTAATCAGGCGCCGGTTTGGCTTTGCTCTCCTCGCTCGCGTAACCCACTGGAGCTGCCAACTAAAAAGTGGTTGGGAGTTAGCGCCTTCGCATCGCTCGACTCCAAAGGAACGTATGTAAGTGGTCGTGAGTTTAGGGTAAACTCGACATCGGCTAAAGCTGCACGCAGAATTTTCGGGCTTTCGGTAGAATTTCGGTTAATATCGATTTCGTAGAACGTACCATTCGTTCCCACGCACCCCCCATATGGGTCGCGCCAGGAGGTATAAAGCTGAATGACATCTCTGGGTATTGATTCTCTACGCCTTTTGATGATATACATTCGATACTTTCTTGCAGAATCCTACTAGCACCACGAAAATTAGTGCCTTGTCCGAGAGCATTCGTTTGGGCACGCCTCGTCGCGTAGTGAATCCTTTTAGCACCATCAAAAACGAGTCGGTGCATAGCGATGGAACAATGTCTAGGTAAACTGCTCGCGTTGTGAGGCATGTGAACAAAACACCTCAGCGTTTCTCCCTGCGCCGTCCAACTGCAATGTCTCTAGGGCCAAAGTAGTCCACGCCAGTAAACGTAAATGGCCGAGTATGTGGCGACAACCGCTCAATAGGAAGTTCACCCATTTCTGGTGGCATTGGTTGGGCCTTTCGTATTCGGCACGCTGGACATTGTTTTATATCTTCTCTTACCAGAGCGCGCAGTCCAAAAATCCAATAGCGATGACGTAGCTCGTAAACGGCAATCTCCCCATGTAGATGGTAGTGCTTCCTATGATGAAACTCAACGACCAAATATTTTACTCGATGGCGTCGCGGTAGGATAACAGGGCGCTTCACGTCAACTTCAACTCCTTCAATAGCATCGACTCGACCTCTGATGCGAAGAACTCCGTAGTCATCTAAGTAAGGCGAGCATTTGAACAATATACTTTTTCGATCACTTAAACGACGGCCAGTCTGCAGGCAGTTGATCTCATCAAAAAAGCATTCTTCCTGGCCAATGTGGATGAGCACGACATTCATCTCGACGTCTCCCTTTAATTGTATGATTTTTCGCAGTAGTACTTCGAAAGGCTTCTTCGATATGTTTCTCAAAAAATTCAGCACGCATCGCTGTGCCGCTAGAAGATGTTCCAATTTACTAAATCGGCTAGGATCAGGTGAGATGCATGACAGTGCTGATGAACGATCAGGGATCTCCTCAGTATGGTACATTACGCTTTCCATAGATTTTTTTCCTTTTAAGTCTATTTCCGGCCACTGCGACTCATTCATTTGTAAAAACTCGGGGCCAGTAAACCATCTTATAGACCCATGAATCTTAGGCGTTGTGACCCATTTAGTTCCGTCGTCAGATACATTTTGAGTTGAAGGAACCCAGCGCCAGTTGCTTATCTCGGACCCTTCCAAAATCTCGCCGATTCGAACTGCCACAAATTGCTGAAATTTTCGCGCATCAGAACGTATCCAACAAAGCACATCTCTTGAGTCCGTCCAGAAGTATCGCCGATCAATACGTATTGATGCTTCGGACTCAACACAGTTCGCTAGCCGGAGCCCTAAAATTGCTGCCATCAATTCCATACGAGGAATCGATATGGGCTTCAGTGGCGCAACTCTAGTTTTAGAAGCCACAATAAGACAGCGGACGTCACCGTTCATGTCAGCACGCAGAAAAGACACAGCAGCGTAGGCGTCAATGCTAGCATCTACAAACGCGGGCAACTGAATTGACTTTGCACGACCTCCAAACGGCATACATCGAGGCACACGCACGTCGTTCAGCCTCGGAACTAAGTGTAGCCAGCGCTGCCAATCGTTTTCGTCACCTTCTGTGAGGGTTTCATCCCATCCGACTCTAGATCGCCATATATTTTGAAGAATGATTTTGGCTCTTATGTTGAAAAATCCAAGTAGTCCAAGCGGATCAAAAATTGACATACAACGCTTAATATTTGACGTTTCGTTGACTGGGCGGTCGATGCTTTAGCAATTAGCTGGGGTTTTACGACGAATGTCAGCGAGTCTTCCAGCGGCAGCCACCACATGCCGAGAATTTTCTCCCTAGGCTCGTTGGACAGCGCAAATTTTTGGTTACCGTTTCGTTTTCTTTGTCTAATGCTTGGACGACACTCTTTGAATTTGACAGCCAATGCCTTATTTCGAACCAACCGTCTGCGGAAATGCGTTTCACATTAGCTGCTAACTCTAACATTTCCTCTTCGGAGTCCCCGGACTGTAGCCAATCATCGACAAAAGTGTTTCTGCGAATCGCCTCAACAGCTTCTGGGTTTTTAACTGCAAACCGATCAGCGTTCCGATTCCTTATGTAATTGGCAAGAGCGGGAGAACATGATGCGCCAAACGTCATGAACTGCATAACGTATATGTCGGGAGAACGCGTTCTATCGCCGTCTCGCCATAGAAACTTTTAAACAGCTAGGTCTTCCTGTCGCACCTTTACCTGAAGGAAAATTTCACGTATGTCTCCTGTAACCGCGATTCTCCGTTCTCGGAAACGCATAACGACGCCAATCACTGAAGCTAATAGAACGGGACCTTTTAACAGAACGTCGTTCAGCGATACGCCATGTACTTTGTCTGCTGCATCCCACACCAATCGCGTTTTGTTCTTGTTCGGATTGGTCACTATGAATATAGGGAGAAACCACGAACGAGTATTTCTCCCAAGCTCACCTTCACTCAATTTACGTATGCAGCCCTTTTCACTGTAGCTTTTCATAGTATTCACCATGAATGAGCTCAACTGAGGATCTTTCACCATCTTCGCTTCGAGACAGTTAAGTCGTTTGATAGCCATGTTGTAAGAGTCAGGTAACTCGACGCTATCAAATTTCCACAGCAGCCCCCTCTCCCAGCGCTTTTCACTTGAAAGGTATTTGGTCGTTTTCTCCACAATTTGTAGCGAGCGTTCATCTTCTTTGGACCTCAATGGCTTGTTTGCGATGCTGACGCCTATCGACTCTATAGAGAAATACGACTTCATAGCTTCATCTAACTTGCGGGTGATGCTAGCGTCGCTGCATTGGCATATATGCAATACATGTGGAATATAATCGTCTTTGTTGTTGTGCCGCCCGTACACTGCCCAACCAAGCCTGCAACGAACAGGAATAACGTCGTCGCCTTCGGCTTTACGTAGTTCCATAGGGACGCTCACCTTGATGTTATCGAGCCCGATGATGATTTGGGCCTTTACGTTTGTATACGGCTGAAGAGGTATCGATTTTAGGTGGCAAACACGCTACCGTACGAACACCTTTTAGCAAATACCGCTGTTCCTCTTTGCCGGTTGCCGAAACGCTGAGATAGACTGATTTTGAGTTATGCTCTATTTGTGTCACATCGCCAGTCCATTTTAAACACAACTGCTTGGAGGGACCATCCAGCTCAAGTTCGCCTATCTCTATTAGTGTGCATTCAGCGCCTATCTCTATTAGTGCGTACGTATGTACTTTGCGCGCCTTACCGAAAATGGTAACTGGAATATAGCGGAACAGTGTCTTTGTAGCGGGCCGGCTATGGAACAATACAGCTGACTCAGAAATGCGTTTATTTTCATTTTGACGTTGTGGGTCAACGTCGCCTCCTTCAACTGCAGCGGAGTGCAGTAATATGCTATGAGTCGATATACACCTATCCACACCGCATCGTTTTTTCGTTCTGCGGTGCCGCACGAGATGTCGCAAAAAACAAGAGAAGCAAAGCCGCTCACTCTTGACAAACTCCCACCTCTGCTTCACATTCAGGGCCCGAAACGCTTCACAGTCTGGTAAACGATGCTGTCCTTTACACTTTGGACATGAAACCTTATCTGATGATCGCGACTTCTTACTATATTCACTGCCGCTATGGTCCTCTACCACATCGTGAACCAGTACGCGCTCCTTGACTTGCTTGTCTCCTCCATTCCTCGATCCTACCGCCCCTTGTGGCTCGTATGATGTAACCATAGTTGCGCACATGGCCACATTAAACAATCAGATAATCTATGTCTACCCCACTCAAGCTTCAAGTCGCTGGGCACCTTGGCGACAAGTTCGTTCAGCAGTAGGGGATCATTCAGATAATCGTTTAGGCCGACTGCTGACATTGTGGCGCAGTAGTTCTGAATGGCAAGTGCTAGTCGGATTGCGGAGTCTAGATTGTTGGGTTTGATGGCAGGCTCTTCCCTCAATTTGCGTTGTAAAGTGGATGCACCATTTCAGGGCGCCCAAACAACATTTTAAGTGTTCCCATCACGTACGGAACAGTAGCAGGAATGGCAGTGCAGAAATTGAAGCATTTTTGTAATCGGATCAGGTTTTCTTCATTGCTGAATCTGCATCTTTCCGTTGATTGTTCATAATTGCTTATAAACAGAAGCCACTCTTCTTTTCTTTCTTTTATCAGTATTTTTCTTTTAATCAAAATATGTTGAAAGAAAAGTGAAAAAAAATTTCCAGACCGCCCCCCTAAAAATTTTAAGCAATAATCAATTAATAGCTAAGCGTTGGTTTTACTACGACCTTGGAAAGACGAAAAAATTTACTTGTATCCTGAAGTATGTATGTATGTGAATACAATATTGCAGCAGCTTTCTACCTACTTTTCTTTATTTTCCACTAATAATAAGTATGCTTTAGAAATATTTACGGAAATAGAGCACATGATTTCGTTCATTTTAGAGTTGTAGCAGGTAGTGAATTTTTTTTCAAACTGCATTTCGCTAAGTGCGGAATTGTGTTGTTTAGTTGGAATTTCCCTGAATACCAGATATTTCGTAAGTACGTACGTTTTTCATAAAATTTGATTTTGTAAGAGTTTTTGGATGTGCACTTACATAAATGAGATAAACAATGCGGGTGCTCCATTCGCGATCACTCACAACAGCTAATCCTTAAAACTTGTTAGGGCGTTGTATGGAAGATATTTTTTCGCTTTTCTAAGTAACTAGCAGACCCGGCGAACTTCGTCCCGCCCAAAATTTTTATATACTTTATTGAAACTTTTTGGTCCAACATTTTTACCAACAATTCACGTTTACGATTTCTATTGGCACATTTGTCTGCTAAGATTAAGGTTTGGTGGTTATTTCTCCAGTTGTGCGGCATTTCATAGCACGGTTATTCGCGAAGCGAAATAAATTTTTTTCTCTTCACTCCCTGGCGGCAACAATGACCCGATTCTATAGTGAATGTCGTAGAAGCTTTACAGTATAGTAGGTTGCAATTTCAAAATGGGTGCAAATTATTGTTCTACAGAAATGCAATATACATATACTTATTTCAGACGAAATACCTTAAAATTTTGAACGCACAATAATATTGGAAAATCACATCCATTGGGCCAATTGCAACGCAGGAGCGTTCGATATACTCAATGGTGCAACAGGTCGATTTAATCTGACCTTCACGGCCCCTTTTCTCACTTGGCTATTTTTAGTAATAGCTCGACTTCAGCACCACTTGGCAGCACGTTTTTGCAATAGTATTGCATACATATTTAAAACATTAGCCAAATCGGATCATAAATAAGATTTTTAGTAATAACTCAACTACAGCGCCAACTGTCGGATTAAATTGTGAAACTAAACCATCCAGAGACCCACTCAAATACACAAAAAGTTTCGTTAAAATCCGTACAACCATTTAGGAGGATTTCACTCACAAACACACCTACAGAAGAATAAAAAAATTCATTCAAAGATAGCTAAAGGTCGGTACGTTTGTAGGCCTCACACCCCTTTTCAAATAGCCCAAATTTTCTCCATGAGTATGGGCTTGATTTCAACTATATACATATCTCCATACGAAGTTCCAGTACTGTACCATGAATACTTTCAGAGATATGCAGTATAAGAATTCGATTTATATGGGAGGAGCCACGCCCCCTTTTCCAACAGCTGTGCTCTTTCTTCATGAGTATGCGATTGATTTCGTATATCTCCATACAAAACTCTAGAACTCTACCAAAAAATTTCCAGAGATAAGCAGTATGAAAAATTCGGTTTGTATGGGAGATGTCACACCCCTTTTTACAATAGCTAAAATTTTTCTCCAAGGGTATGCGATTGATTTCGTATATTTCCATACCAATTTCCAAAACTCTACCATGCACACTTTCAGAGATATGTAGCATGAGAAATTCGGTTTGTATGGGAAGTGCCACGCTCCCTTTACATATAGATTTTTTTCAGCCTAAAACCAACCTTGGGACACGTGCGGCAGGTGGCAGTTTCAAAAAAATCGCTTCAGCCACTCTCGAGCCTTGCGAAAACTAACAAACGGCTTTCTAAATATAAATTAGTTGAGATATATTATAATTATATTTTAACAGTATCCGCTGTTTCTGATTGGCGCAAAAAAATCTTGCCTAGTGACGAATTCGCCCCTTGATATGGTCGTTACTTAAAGCTATTTATATTCGAAATAGCATGAAAATTGGAAAACAGGAATCTATAAGCTTATCCAGGCAAAAAGCTACTTACGTACCGAATTTTAAGCAAATCGGACCATAAATGCGATTTTTTGGAATAGATCGGTCCCTGGTCCACTTCTCGGTAAAAATTGATCACATATGCTAATACATGCTAAAAAGCTACTTACGTACTAAATTTTAAGCAAATCGGACTATAATGAGATTTTTTTCGAATAGACCGGTCCCTGGTAGCCTAAAACATGGTGGTTTCCGAAAGCTATTTGTACACAAAATTTCATGAAAATCTGACCAGCCGTTCGCGAGATTACCTGTTACAAAAAAAGGGACTTCTCTTTATATAATTAGTATAGATTACGCTATAATTGCACATATACATATACATTGTCGTCAGTTGTAGAAGTAATAGAAAAGTCGTCCCATCCTGCAGGGACACCGCGGACTAGTGAATCAAATTTCTAGTTCTGTACTAGGTCTTTATAGCGAAAAACCAACTAGTCAGCTAGTAACAAGATCCTCACCAGTCCAAAATCTTCGAAAAGAGATACAGGTTGCATTTCAGCCACAATGTGAAATGCTATACTATATTAACGATATGTTGAAAATTTGCATACTTTGCCACAAAGTATCAAAGCACATTGAGCAGAAGGAATGAAAAAACAAAACCGATCTGATATGGTACTGACAGCGGTGAGTAAGTAATTGTGACTGCCTGCAATTAGGAAAAGTCGATCTCAGCTAATAAAAAAAAAACTAATTAGAAGCTATTCATTACAGGTGAACTATTTCAAAAAGTCACCCGGGAACTAAGCAAATCTTAGACCTTCATCCGTGATTCCGATAATTCAAATTATTATAAATAAACGGGATTCCTTTTTAACAAAACAAGAAGATTTTAAACTAATTCGGCTGGCAGCCACGACTTTCAAACAGAATTTTCTTCGAAATTTTCATTCCCATATCCACCTATTTACAACCTCGCTATAGGCACACATTTTACAAACCAGTCACAGAAGAAAGGACTAAAAATGAATTACAAAAACTAAAATCGAAAATCGCTGATGATGTTACAGGTTCTCCAAATTCTGAAGCAACCAAAAGAATGAGAATGAAGAATTCTATGGTGTTTAAACAACGATCTTTTCATGATGCTAGATTGTGAAGATGAAAGGCAGGAGGATACATCCGACATTTGCAGCGCCGATGCAATTCTCAGAAAGGAGTTATTGGAGAGAATTTACAATTTTGTCAAGTTCCAAGTTTTTTAAGCTATTCGCCTTGAGCGAGTAGTTATTTAGCAGCGCAGGCTTAATTTAGGACCTTTAAGAAACAGGCTTTAACCCAATTCCAATTTTTAAATTCAAGTACGAATTTAAAAAAAAAAAAAACATTATTTAAAATTACTACCTTTTCCATATTTTATTTACCTAAATCACCTAATTAACCCACCTAAATTATTTCTTAAAAATACTTGGCATCCGCATTCGCATCCGCGGATGTCTAAAATTCCACATTCGCAACATGCCTAATATATACATATGTATGTGTGCATAGATATGAAATGCAGACTTCCGTTTTATTGAGTTTTCTTCTAAGTAATAGATTCATCCATATTCATACATATTCTTATTCTGTTTACGTATGTATATTCTCGGTTTCTTATTAATATTCCTATAATGGCGAATCGAAACATTTAAGAGAAATAAAAAATTAATATGTATTGTTTTTTCTGCTTTTCTTTACTCTCAGTCTTCACTAGACGCCCACTTTTCTCATTAGTCAATCTTATCCCCACTAAGTTCCATTTATTAGATACTAGCAGACCCGGCGAACTTCGTGCCGCCCAAAATAATTTTTTTGTGCTGCAACATTTTGGCCTAACATTTTAACCAACAGTTCACGTTCATAATTTTCAGTGACGCATTTATCTTCTAATATTACGGTTTGGTGGTTGTCAGAAGGCATATTTCCATTGCCGTCTTAAATAACCTAGCAAAACTGTACATGTGTATAAAGAAACGTAATAAGTTCAATGCTTTGAAAGGCGCCATGTCCCCTTTTCAAATAGCCCCAATTTTCTCTAAGAGTATGGGATTGATTTCACATATCTCCATACCATTTTTGCGTAATCTAACGTTGGAGGTACCACGCACCTCTTTCCAATAGCCCCTATTTTTCTTCATGACCACTCGACTGATTTTATATATCTTGTACATACCAAGTTCCAGTACTCTTCCATGCAAACATCCAGAGATATGCAGTATATATATCTTGTACATACCAAGTTCCAGTACTCTTCCATGAATACATCCAGAGATATGCAGTATGAAAAATTCGGTTTGTACGGGAGGTGGCACACCCTCTGCACCTAGCGGTATGAAATATACTTTACATCCGATTCTCATACCTACCACATATTTTTAGTTCGCCCTCTAACACCGTGAATGAGATTTTTATATATTAGAGAGCAGAGCACCCGACGTCGTTCGGGGTACACAAATAAAAATATAAAACAGTAATACAAATATTCAGTCCA